AAGCAGTAATAATCTACAAACTATAACTCAGCAGCTGAAAGTAAACCAGTCTGTCAGGACCAACCAGGCCACTTTTTCTCCCCAGTCTGCCTCTGCTGGAAGGTGTGTTTATCACGGTAGATCTGGTGTAAACCTAACACTGCAGTTCAGAAAAAGAACATTGTGCTAACATTCAAACATGGTGATGGTCCTGGTCTGCTTTGCTGCTTCTAGACAACTTGATTGATGAAGCCATGAATTCTGCTTTCCACCATCAGTTTTAGTCCTTGGGCCAGGGTCAAAAATTTGGTATCATGAAAAATATCTATTTGTAACGTGCTTTTTGGCTAGCTACACGTCTGAGGTATATGAAAATGTATGATGAAGCTGTATAGGATTACCCCTCAAATAAGAGTTGAGGACCTATTTGGAAAACCTAATTCAAACAACGTAACATACACCATCCAAACCCTTTAAAATTATATTTTCATATTTTCTACTATAGTCTATCACTACTTAGCCTGGTAAAAACCAGCCCCTTGTTCTTTGCTTTGCTTCTGGACTCTTGGCTATTGAGAAATGATTTCATGCTGGAGGCGTGAACTCTGTTGAAGTTTAAAACGACTGGATCTGATTTACCCAATCACTAGTGTTTGGCCGTGACCCATGTAGAGCACCAGCTCCACCGTGAAGGATGCTAAGCTAAGGAGCTAACAGGAAATTGCTAACCAAGAGAGAAGTACTGAGCAGAATGAGGTGGCTGGAAATGAGGCTTTGTCATACAAATTTTATTTAATTTGGAAGCCTTGTCAATATGGACTGGCTTCATTTACTTCCTTTGCTGCCATTGGTAAACTACTGGCAGACGAACGGCGCAGAAAATAGACGTCGTCGTTCAAAACTCCTCCTTCTTTTTGCTGATTGGTTAAAATTCTACCTGAAAAATCCTTGTCTTTGGGAGAAATCTCAGACGGAGTAGAAAAGGGAGATTATGAATTGAAGTAAATGGCCAGGCTAATAACTACACATTTTAAATCTTGATTCATTTCATTGTAAGCAGTTTTGCTTGGATTCTGCAGCAACAGAACAAAGATCTGAAGTTCAGCGGCAACATTTCACAACCATTGCGAAAAACTAATCACAAGCTATTAGAAATGCCACAAAGGACGACACAACCAGGTTTTAAATTTAGAGCAATTCCTTTTTCACATCGAGCCAGGCTGGTTTGGATACAATGGCCTTTTTGACTTAAAGTGCTGGTGACATGAATCTTTTAAAGACAAATATAAAGGCATTATTGGACAGATAATATCAATAACATATTGCAAATATAAATCCCCACTGCTGAGATGAACAGTTATTGAGATATTTGCATTTGAAGTACCAGGAAGTGATGTCAAAGGGGAATGCCTGCAAGGATTAAAGCATTGATAAAATGGTTAAGGACACAGACTGTAGAGAAGAATCTGATGTTTCTTTAGATTATTTTGAGTCACTATCAGAGAGATGAAGACAAATCAGAAGTCAAATAATACTGTTTCAATGAACAAAGAACAAGATAATTTTCTTTCTTAAATAGTTCCCCTTTGAGGTCACTTCCTGTTTCACTTTGGCTGATCCAAGTTCAAAATAAAGTATGCATTTATGTGTTCAAATGGGTAAAAATCACATTTTATGCAAGGTTTCTTATGTAAAAAATATGTTTTCTTTGACCTTTTGTATACGATGGACAGGCATGTCACAAGCACTTTAAGACCTTAGTTTCAAAATTGTGATCTTGTAGGTCGTTCTGACCCCAGAATCCATATTGTGTTTACTCAGGTTTTCTTTGTCTGATTTTAGTGTCAACATGTCCAATTTAAAAATCTGAAAGAGGAAAAACACTTCTTCATAGCAGCATAATTTTATTTCTTGAATCTGAAATATATTCCAGTAAGAAATGAACAAAACCATTTGGACAAAAGCAACACAGGGATTCTGAAATGACTACAAACACAACAGCTGTGTGGTTTCTGGTAGTTTTAGCTTTTTCATTCAGAAAATCACCCACTTGTTGTGACCACCAGAAGACCACAGAGGCGACAGACATAAAAACCTGACCATCTGAGCAGGTTTGAGAGCAGCTAGGGGCCTGAAATCACCTCGCAGAGGGTCAACCGTGTCAGCATCTCAGCAGCGACAGATTCTCCTGTGAGCTCAGACAGAAGGTTTTTCTCTCCATCTATTCAGAGACAAGGCTCTGAAAACCAAAACCAGCTCCAGTTTTAGACCTGCAGCTCTGCTTTCAGGGGCTGCTGGGGGGCCACATGGATCAGGCCTGAATCAGACACTGACAAAAGCTTCTGCGACAAAAACTGCAACAACAGAATCAAAGAGACACCAGGAAAATTTAAAGCAACGAGTCACAGTTTTAAACTGAGTGACTCAAAAATGAATCAAAATGTGACTACTTTTTGAAGGGTTTTGTCTTTTTTTTTTCTTTTTTCTTAAACTTTCAAGAAAAAACAGCAGTAAATGACAAAAACAACAAAAATAGGAAAATTCACTAAAAAAGTTCTGAGCAGTATGTTTTTTTATACATGAAGAAGATATTTGGGAATAATCATATTACTGATAAATGTAATTTTAAATGAAATAAAATGAAAGCAGAAATTTTATGAGACCCTTAACTCTTTAGCCACCAGAATGTCAGGCCTCATTCATTCTGTTTATATTCTCCCATCCCTGTTTTTTTTTAAACTTTCAGGTTCAGACAGAATCATGAGGCAATGAACACATGAAAGAAAAAAAAACTGCAGTGTGAACAGAAAACAAGCAAAGACCAAAACAAAAAACGTATAAGTTTCTTACCCTGGAGATGGTCAGAGGCATGTTGAAGTCCTTCCCCCCCTGCAGCCTGAAGCCCCAGGGCCCAGGGCCCGGCAGAGTCACGGTGTAGGCACTCATTCTTCCACACAACTAAAGAGGATCCTCCAAACTCACAGCAGATCTCTGACTGACACCCTCACTGGGATGGAGAGACAGGATGGGGGGCTCTGAAAGAGGACAGAAGGGAAATGAGGAGAAAGAGTAAAAAAAACCACTGAAATGAAAGAAGAAGAACCTGCCTGCTCGCAGCTGAAGTGACAGCCTAAGAATAGACAGAGATAGCACTGTGGCATTGTAGGAGGGGGAGAATGGGGTGAGGAAGGAGGAAGGAGGGGGGGTGTTGGGCTTATATGGCGTGAAAGGGGACACCTGGTATGCCAGGCATCGCCGTGATTCACCGGGTTAATATAGACCCAGAAGATTCTTTCAGAGCCCCCCTCCCACTCATCTCATCCTGCAGCGTACAGGGTCTTCCTCGGACCCAATCAGAACCCAAGCCAGGAAACGTCTTGTTATCTCTGCGGCGATAAAGCCTCAACCTAAAGGCCATGAGCTGAGAGCTTCTGATAGCTGAAAGGTCAGCAGCAGCAGCAGCAGGCGACACATCAGTCTGCAAACCTAAACCATCGGCCATTTTACTCCTAAATCACACTGAGAAGATCCTTTATTCACCCAGCAGGAAACATGAAACACCACAGATTTCAGTTTTTATGAGACAAGTCAAAATTCAAACAAGTATGAACAAATAATTTACAAATTATTTATATTTTTTTATGTTGGCAAGTAGGAAATCATGCCTGAAAATCAAAAAGAAAAAAATAAGTAGGTCCTCTGGACGGGTTCTTCTTTAGTGAAACGTTTCGTCTCTCCTCCAAGAGACTTCTTCAGTCTGATGAGTTTCAGGTGAATTCAACCTTATAAGCACTGCCTCCACA